TATCTTTCTATCTATTTATCTTCTGGAAGATGGAGCTAACTTTAGAAATAAAGTCAATATTCTTCAGTAAAGACAAATTAATGCAAATTCAACTTCCAGATTGTCACTACTCTGGTTTATTTAATTTATTTAAGCATTAAGTTGCCATGAAGGAGATTTTCTTTTATGTTAACTCAACAGTGGCTTGAAAAACAGGTCTTGCAATATGCAGTAGGTTAGCTCTAGAGAGTTTATAGCTTTCAGAAGCCTATGGGATGCTTGATAACAATTCCTGAGCCTCACTCTAAGCCCACAGCATCAGCCTCTTGCTAGTTCTAAAGGTCTTGACAGTGGATAGGTTGATGGTTCTTTATTTCTGAAAGGAAAATTTAGAGTGTAGTTTTCATTACTTCAGATAAAGGACTGACACTTGAGGACCCAAGAGAGAGTTCTTACTCAAATATTTTTTAAAATACACAAAGTAATTTTAAAATCTGCTGTATTTTAAATAATATTTTAAATACATAATAGTATATAATAATAAATAATTTTAATAATAATAAATATATTATAATAAATATTATATGTTAAATTTCCTTCTAGTACTTTAAACACCAAAATAGATATTATATTCATGATAGCATCAGTATTATAAACTTTGAAAGATAAAATATTGAAAGAAAATAAAACTATAACTGGGTTAAGTAACATAAAATAAAAGTAATACTATTGCTAATAACTCATATAATAATTAAATAAGCTTTTATTTTGTTAAACATCTTTCCCTGGAAAACAGAGATTTTATATGTGTCATTTCACATATGTTTTAATATTACTTGATGTATCTTGATACTAACAGTCTCATATACTGTTCCATCCATTCAATAAATAAGATTAATGCACAACACATTATAGATTCATCAGGTTATTTACATTAAATATTATACAGATTTTTGTAAGTCAGTAATGCCTGAATGAAGTAGTTTAAAAATTATACATTATTGCATGTCAGAGTCAGGTAAAAGTGCTGGGTATAATAAGACTTTACATATCACAGGAAAAAATGGATTTTTTCTGGTGAATCAGGAAAAAGAGAAAGTTCATTTGGATTGCTGGAAAAGAAAAAAAAAATCTATTGCTAAATGATCTAAGGTAACAGCCTAGAAGATAAGTCTGCATCAGAATACAATATGTCTGATTCAAAATATAAAATCCACTCATAACCACAATTCTTCCAAGGATAAAACGATAAAGGAAATAAGGCCTCATTTCAGCCTTCCTACATGATTGTGCCATGTAATAGGAAAGCAAAAGGTACTGAATTCTTCCTTGCTGGCCTGAATGAACTGGTCAACAAAATGTTTTTAGGTCTTCAGCTTGTTTTCAGGAATCACTTTACTAGACAGCACTCTCCACTGTACATTCACTATGAACCGGAGACAGAAATAAATTGTCCCTACAGCACTATGATGCTAACCAACATGGTAATGTTCTAAGTTTCAAAGCATTATAACACATTTATACTGACTCCTTTCCTGGTTTATTGCTATAAAACAGTATATATGTAGAAAGGAAAACAGAATAATCATTCTAGAAAAGTCTTAAAAACATCTATTTAAAGAAAGAAAGAAATATATACATATATATTTCTTTAATATGTATTAATATATATGTATATATATACACTTAACAATCACATATTAAACCTGAAACTATAAGACTGTACCTAAAACAAATGACTCATTGTCTTTTTCCCTAGGTTGGCCTTTGTTTCTCCTCATTTTACTTAGATAACATTCTAAAGATGAAGATAACATTTGATACTATAAAAATACAATGATTTCAGCACCCAAGAAAATAGATCCCTACTTTTCCCCACACTGTTGGAGAAATTAGTTGGCTGAAACCAAAAGCAGCTGTCTTATGAAGCCTGAGAAGAGGTGGGATGGTTGATTGCTTCTGAGAGAGGAAACAAAAAACTATACCTCCTATGTGGTTTCCCAGAAAAAAAAAAAAGAAAGAAAGACTAAAAATTATAATTCACACTCTTCCTTAGAAATTCTAAAAATAACACAATTTGTCCTAAATGTCAGGCCCTGCTCTAAAAAAATAAAAAATAAATCAAAGGACAAGGCATAAGCAGCAGCAGCACTGTGGCTTTTTCAGCAGTGACTGTCCATGTAAAGATTACTCACCAGGAAGCTATAGAAGAACTCATGAACAAAGAGGCCCAGCATGCAGACCAGGACGTACGCCACGTGATAGAGAAAGGCCACATCCAGGATGACTGCTCCATATCCTCGGGTGAACGTGCCACGATTTCCCACAAAACTCACCAGAAATACTATTTTATTACAAAGCTAAAAGGAGGAAAAGATTTGATTTTACTGTCTTATTTATCCTGAATTCACATACATAGTAGGATACTGACAAAAACTATTATCCATATACTCTGTGGTTTTCTTTCATGGTTTCTCAATATAAATCTGCATAGAAACATAATATGTGCAAAACTTGCATCCTTTTCAGTTTCAGTAAAAGAGAGAAGAATGATGAAGAGAACTAGCTATGCAATCGAAACAGACTTGAATTTAAATCCTGGCTCTTTCAATTATGCAACCTATTCCATGCAACTGTAAGCCTCAAAGTTTTTTTTTTTCTGAAAAACTGGAATAAAAAATTTCCCTCATAGATCTCTTTAGAAGACTTAAAAGACATTGTGCAATATGAATCAATTAGTACAATGACTCTTTACTACTTTTATTATTATTTTCATATTAAAAGAAATATAAAATGGTTTACTACACTAAAATATAACAAAAAAATTTTAGAAAATATATAGATTTGTCTTTTCTATCTTGGATTTTTTATATTGAGTATTATTTTAAAGAAGCAAGTCATTAAATATTTTTTGCCATTTATTTTATATACATTGAAAATATGAATGTACTATGTACCTGGGTTAAAATAAACATAATGCACATATTTATTTTCTAAGCCATATATGTAGTAATTATTCAATAAATATTTTGTAATGTTTACTATTTCTCTGATCATGTAGTACATTTATATTCAGGCTTTAATTAATATTACCTTTTGTGGCATAACTTTGGGAATGTAGAAATTTATATTGACATTCTTTAACAATAACAATGATATGTACAGTGATTTATAAAGACATTAGTTATCATAAACTTAGTGCCATCTATTTGGTTATTGAATCACAGCATTATTTATAAGAGCCAATTTTGCCTCATAGTCATCAAAGAAGAAAGTACAGATTCCAAGAATTCTTAGAATTTTCCTTCCTCATTGTTCCCTGAGTTCTTCACATTATCTAATGGAAACATATTTATCTTTAAGCATCCAAACCTAACTTTGGAAAAACAGACTGCTCTTTGCAACACTGTTGATTTTTTCTATATAGATAACATAAGCAAAAGTACCTTAGGGGATGATTCTAAACAACATAAAAAGGAACATAACATTTTGAGTCAGATATAAAATTGGAAAGGTGAAAAAAACTTTTCCTTCAACTTTCTGAAGCCCAAATCAACACAGATGAAATGACCCATGGGTTATTAGTGAATGTTTTGAAAGACCAGTCAATTCAACAGCCCAGCACCTAAAAAAGTCAAAAAACTTTCCTAAATTTCCCCTCAGCCAATTAACCCTCCTTGCAATAATTGATCACTTCCTCCTTCATCATCTTAACAATTTTAATAACACCAAATAGAAAGAAACTCCTACTATTTTCTTTGTTCAGTGTTTCTTCACTAGCTTCCACTATTATTAAATACAGCCATGGTATAATAGAAGTCTTCATATTTATTGTTCAAGAACAGGGTTGTTCAAGAACAGGGTTGATATCATAAGATATCATAAAAACAAGGACTTTACATAAAGTGCTTCTCCACATGGAGTATTTGACAAGAAACAGCCATGAAAATGGAAAGAAATAGAATGTTTGGCAAAGTATATTCAGCAGTTTACTCTCTTAATTGTTTTGAGTGGCTCTTGTCTAAATCTACACTCTCTTGATTCATTCATTATAATTCATCAGTATAATACAGACAAAAGTTGTATAATAAATAAAATTAAAAGTAAGAATCATTACTTTTCAGAAGGATGAATGATGTGATTAAGAAAGTTCTTGTTTCCTGATCTCTAATTCTTTAAATTGCATCATTAAAGTTATATAGGAAGAAACTTTATAAGTCCTATACACTGAGGAAAAAAGAATACTTTGAATTTAAGTCCTCAAAAAAGAGCAATACATTTGGTTCTCAAATAATGAAAAAGCAAGAACACATATCTGCCTAAAAGGGACTCTGCCATTTTCACATGAAAATTAGAGATTTGCTTTATTTGTATTCAGAGTTTTTGTTTATGAATCTTGATCTAAAGAATGACAGATACATTCCTGTTCTCTAGACTAAGTCTAGAAGTGGGGTGGAGTCAGCTCTAGCAGCGGCATCCATCTATTTCTCTCGAGATCAGACACAGGGAAATCAATGTCCTCATGATTTAAAGAGTTCATACCAAGGGCTGGGGCTATGGTTCAGTGGTAGCACACTTGCCTGGCATGTGTGAGGCATTGGGTTCGATTCTCAGCACCACATATGAATAAATAAAATAAAGGTCTATTAACAACTAAAAATATTTTTTTAAAAAGAGTTCATACCAAGAAGAAATAAATGCAAGAATAATTATTTGATTAGACAAGAAGTTGAACTCTGGTTTCTCACATAGGATGCAATTTGTCAATTGTTTTCATAGAACACTTTCCTTAAGAGCTGGGAATATTTATGTAAGAAATAAGTTTATAAGCCATGTACACTAAGGAAAAATGATATGTTGAATTTGAATTCTCAAAAAAGAGCAATACATTTTGGTTCTCAAATAATGAAAAAGAAAAACCATTCTCCCTTTTCATGTCATGACTTGGCTGCTGTCATCTAACCAGTCCTTCACCTGTCACTACTGTGATGTAGGCAATCATTTCTATGGCAAAGGTCCACATGGACAACAACGACTAGAAGTTTAGTGAGAACATCTGAGTTGGCTTAGAAAGCCCTGGAATCAGACACACGGGACCAATATACAACACCATAACTGTCTCATTTGGTCTCCCTTCTCCATTTAGTTTTCAAAGCTGCCCAGGCTATATTTTTGATGGGGATGGGGTCAGTTATATGTTGGTGGGGAAAAAGGAGTGGGCATGGAGAGGCAAAGAGGTAAACTTTCTGGAAATTTTATTAACAGTGCTACACATCAAGTCTTCCCAAACAAAAGTGAATTTAACAGTCACTTGTTCATTAATGTATACTAAAGCAATACCACTGGTTTTAATTAGGCAAAAAATATACAGTAAAGTAATATCTCCACATACACTTTATAGTCTGTGGATATGTCTTCAGGACTAATATCAGTGCAGTGTGGTGGAAAAACACTGGATGAGAAGTTGGCCATCTGGGGTCCAGTTGTGGCTATGGCACTAACTTCCTGCTTTAGTACATCCTTCTGTCTCTACAGGACTTCATTTGCTCATGTCTGCAATTATGTGCCTAGAATTTAGGTGCCTTATAGTTCTAGAATTTTATGTGAGTCTTTTAAATTTTACTATTTTATCTGATCACAGACATTTGTTTTCGTCTTTATATTATCCTTGTGATCTAACTTCATTCTCTGGCCCTGATCAAGAATTGTATCCCCATCTTAACATTGTTCCTATGGGAAAATATGACCTATTTTCCAAGAATAAATTGTAGAATAAAAAAAAAAACAAGCAAGACTTGTCCGCTTATATATTGAAAAGATAAAATTGAATTTATCATCTTCAACTACATTACCATATTTTCACCAACTGACTGAATCACCCTTCTCATTGAAAATGAGATGATTTGATTTTTTTTTTAAATCTCTATTTCAGTGATGTTACATTGTAGGCAAGATAAGGTTCTAAGATTAATATGTAAGACAAAATTTGCATGCAAGTCAGAATTGCCCTGGAAACCTTTTAATCTGCCCACAAAACAGTACAGTAAACCTGGACAATATAAAGAGTAGCATCTCTCACTAAGTACAAAAAACAGCACTGAAGCAATTTTGTATTCTGCAAGTGAATACTAGAAGTAGTTAGGAGCATTCATTGACCATAATCTGTAAAAATGTGTGTGTGTGTGTGTGTGTGTGTGTGTGTGTGTGTGTGTGTGTGTAGGGGTGGTGGGAATATAAGAG